GAAGGGGGGGGGGGGGGTACATTTACAGTATCTGGAGCATTGCTGTAATAACCACTCCCTCTTATCCACTACCAGTTCAACTATATTATTTTAAAGGCAGAGTTCAACTTCAGCGTTGCTCATGTCTAATCACGCAATCTGTATCAAGGCCTTGGAGGAAACATGCTATTAGTTTTGACTTCACATAGATAGCACAGTTGTGAACTAGCCACAGCTTGTGGTGGATGTAAGGAAGATCTGAGAACTGCTATCAACAGTCACACAAACACATTACGCTGAAACCGAATATTAAGCTGTAAAGCTGTCTGTCGTTTAGGCGAGTGAGAAAAATAAACGGGGTGTGTGTGTGTGTGCTGCTAGTGATGTGGCTCGATATAACTAAACAAACTACAAAGAACAGAATAGACAATAACATAAAGACCTGTCTGGTAATATCCTATCACCACACTAAGGTGGGCAATAATTGCAATATCTTATAATTCGAAGCCATTCAGCCATCCTGTATTGTAACACTAAATCTATGCATAAATTACACGATGAACCTGAAAAGTGTATCTTTGCAATTCTTCATGCCGTAAAGAGTCATGAACGATTTAACAGTCAAAATCTCAACTAATCTTAGACTGTTCATCCATACAAATGACTTTATATCTTTGCAATTATGTTCAAATTAACTTTCTGCAGTATAAACATAAACTGTCTTTATTTTTAAGTATTTACCATATCATTGTTATTAATTTTTTCATTATTTAGTAGTACTCTTATCAAGAGTATTACTATCATAATACTGATTTCAATCATATTGCCTAGTACGGACGTACGCCGGTGTTCGATTGCACCTGTTGGATGCAAAACACGTCCTGAACTGCCCTCTCGTTCAACCCTGTACCCCAACCTCCCCATGCCCCAGTCACATGGTTCAGGCAAAGCCAAAAAATGCATATGATATCATTGCTTACACTGGCTAACAGGCAAAGATACCCAGGCCTACACAGTCCCACAAAGTGGTCTGAGCCTGTGCAGGACAGTGACAGGCAGACACATATGCTCAGACTCGTAAGACACATACAGTTCATACCACAACAGAACATATATACAGCACGGCTTGAGGACCAGCACAGACCAGAACACATCTACTCTCAGAAAGACTGGACTCTATGAGAAGCTTGTCTTGTGTTTGTTTACTCTCTCCCCCTCAAGCCATACTGCGGTCCACCGTCCAGACCGGGGCTAGGTAATCCCTGTAGGTAAACAGAAGCAGAGCAGGGCCCGCTCAGTCATACCAGCCTCTCCACATCACACCACTACACCCACACACACACGCTGCACCCAGGCTGAAGCTCTGGGCTGAAACACTACTACACCCACACAGTTAAAAGAGACATTTCTCTAGAGCCGCATAGCCTGGCCTGGTCTATTAATGCATGCGAGGATGATGGAGTAGATAGAGCTGCTTTCATGTTGATGTGTTGTTGGGAGAACACAGGTACGGTTCATCAGAGAGTCAGGAGTGACAAATCTCATCAGGTACAGTTATCTTCACATGAATTCCTGCTGTTGCATGTGCAGTAGCATGAAAATAACCATGCTTAGATTACCAGTGTCATGTAAACACTGTAGCAGCCACACCAGAGGGGAGTAACGCCTACTCATCTTTTTTTATCAGACCAGTAATACCATGTACACACACCTTGGTCTGTTTTCGTTCTGATTTTGATTTTTGCACATGCATTACCGTGGTCTCTGCGTTAAACACAGAACTTCCCGTGTGGTTGAGTAAAAAAGAAAAGCATGGCTAGGCAGCAGCAAAAAAAAAAACATAACACTAGATTTTTGCGGCAACAGCAAAATGGGTTTCATGTTTCAACTCAGACGGTGTACAATAAAGCTTCTATTAAGTTGCCCAATGAGTTTATCAACATAAAATTGAACAAAAACATTGCATTTTTCCTGTTGTACAGCTATTTCCTGTTAGCCTGCGGGGTATCCTCAACCGACACCTCATGTATGTTTGGGTTTTGTGGGAAGTCATGTTAATGTAAACTATGCACACAACTGAATATTTACTTTTTGAACTACTATATTACTGTGGGTATTTGTAGTAATCCAGTTATTTGTGTGTATTCAAAACATACTAATCTGGTGTTTAAGCAATGATAACTCTTGTCCAAACTACTCATGATACCTTTTGTGTAGCCTCAGAAAACTGGCAATTAGCCATTGTGGTAATACGCAGAAACAAGTGGATGTCAACAAAGAGAAAACACAGCCTGGGTTCTTTTTTAAAAAAATGCCATTTGTATTAAAAGTCTTGTTTTTAAAACAGACAGCCCACTGTTAAAAGGCTGATCTGAAATTAAACTTACAATCAGGTTAGATTTGTCAACGGTACATCATCACATTTCCTGTTAAAAACAACAAAATAAACAGAACAAACAGAATTTGATTTAAGTGGTCTGGAAGGTAAGCGTTTGGTGTTGTTATCACGTCTAAGGGGATTCCAGTACCTGTGCATTTCAAGATATAGGTTTGGCCAGACTAAGCAGACATTGCAAAAATGAACACCTTAGACTTCAAAAGGCCAACGTAAAACATACAGAAACCGCCATTCCATTAACAAAAAGCCTCTTGTAGTCTTTGTTTTTTCAGCCTCCACCCCTACAAGATTATCCAGAAGAACAGTTCACTAAATTGTGGATTGCCATGTCGAAGATTTCTTTTGGTGATACATGTAGGTTGGCACTAAATCTGAACAGCTGATTCGTTTTGGAAAGGCACTCGACACAAGGGTGATCAGGTCACGTCCCCATGTCACTTCAGTTAAGGTCCTCTCGCGCACTGAAGAGGACATGAAGGGAGAAAAAAAAAAAAAGTGGCACTCGTCATATTTACTCCACCAGCAGAAAAGTGGTGTCAATTTCTTTTGACTTTGGAAAGAAAAATAGGATTTGGAGTGTTGTGGAGCATTGCTCCAAAATGGGGTTAGGCAGACATACCACCCACATCTTTACCCACCCCTGGCTGTGCAGTTATTTAACAAAATATACTCTATCTCTCTGTCTTCTTATACAGAAATATCCATTTATGAGTGTCTCTAAGTGTTGCCCTCCATATCTTTTCGATTGGGGTTTTAGCTCCAGGTGTGAGCACAGTTGGAACTGGTGAAGGGGGTGGGGAGGGAGGAGGGTGGGGGGGAAGAGTGTTGCTGAATCTCTGGATCTGACACTGTGTTGACATCAACGGTGGACACCGATCGTGCAGCAAAGATACTCCAACCCAGCAGAATTCCTGAAGAGTGGACCCCTCCCTCTGTCTCTGTTGCTCCCCTCCTCCTCTCGTCCCCCTGCAGCATTCCTCCCTGTATACTCCTCCAAGGCCAGGGTGAGACACGAAGAAGAGCTCAACAGTACACACTTGCTGCAACACACTGCCACAAACGAGAGACACAAAATGAAATAAAAAGAGTCATGAATGAACCAAAAACAACTTGTGACAAGGAGATAAAGAAAAACACGCTGCTTTTAAAGGCTCATTTGGAGCTTGGCTCAACAACAACAAAAAAAGGCTTGAATGTAGGCCATTACATGAACACTGGAATCTCCCAACTCCTGTTAACCTCTTTCTGGAAAATACCACTTTGCACAGTTGTTTAATAGGTGTTTTTGTAGATTCAACGACTAACTTGGTGAATCTCATGAAGTAAGTCACAGCTTGCCACTCCAGTTCTGCTAATGAGTCAGACACTTCCCCAATCTGCTTTAGCAAAACAATAGACTGTGCAAGTGCCCTGCTGTAGGTTCCCAGTACACCAACTAACGATATGAAGTAGAAATTACAATAAACTAAACGAGGTAAAACTTTAAAAATGAAGCCAAGTTGAGCTTACATCCGGTATACTGTTGTTGTTCTCCTACTTATTACAGACATAAGCTAAGAAAGGACTAAAGTAACAAGCTTATAATAAGTAATGGTTTTACAGTGTCACTTAATAAAAAAAAAAAACTATATTTAATGTCAGCTTTACATAGTCGGTGTATGGCGTCTCCACTTACCATTGCAAACTTAAAACCGAGCAAAGAATAAAACTTTATGGTTGTCCTTTTTCCTTAAAGAATGACACAAGACGAGCAGCACTGGTCGTCGCCATTTGGTGTTGAGGCATAGTTCATCTGTCGGACTATCTCTGCAAACAGTTCGTCCACCGAGGTTTTATTTTTGGCTGAAGTTTCCATAAACGGGCAGTTCCAGTCGTCCGCCAGTGCCTTCCCCTCACCGGACGACACCTCCCTCTCCCCCTCCAGGTCCACTTTGTTTCCAACCAGAATCATCGGCACCCTCTCGTACCTTTTCACCCGGATGATCTGATCCCGCATCGGTTTGATGTCCTGGAAGCTCTGCTGGTTCACCAGGCTGTAGACCAGGATGAAACCCTGACCGTTTTTGATGTAGAGGTCTCGCATGGAGGCGAACTGCTCGGTCCCCGCCGTGTCCAGGATCTCCAGGACGGACGGAGAGGAGTCCACCTCGATCTCCTTCCTGTAGAAATCCTCTATCGTGGGGTCGTATTTCTCTATGAAGGAACCCGTCACGAACTGGACGGTCAATGCGGATTTCCCGACCCCTCCGGACCCGAGAACCACTACTTTGTACTCTCTCATGGTTCCCAAAACAGCCGACACTCCTGTTTCCTCTCCGCTGTGAGCCCGCTAGCCGCCCTGCTGGGTTTCAAACGGTTCACCCTTTGCGCCTCTGCCAGCACTTTTGTACGGGCTTTCGGTCGGTGGATGCGGGGCGTGGCCGTCAACTATTGCCGTTCAGGAGGTGAATACGGTTGTTTCGGACCCACGCTCAGCATTTGTATTGTTGCATGTTGAGTTCCCGACGACAGCCCAGCCGGTTCTTGAGCGAGCTTCCCCCGTTTTCGTTCAAGTAGCCACCGTGCGCCCGTTGCTCTCTTTGGCACAGTCAAGCCAACCGTCGCGGAAACCTACCTCTTCCTGTGTGCGCTTTCAAAATAAAAGTCTAATGGCCTAATGTGTCCAATAAAGTCTGTCCTGTTACGGCTTCACTGCTTGGTAAATGAAACAATTCACAAAATGTTTTACTAATAGGTATGTTTTATCGCGTATTATCGTCGCGAATTATTATTTCAATGTAACAGTTGTAGCCTCTTGAATGCGAGTTGTTTCGTTTCCGGTGTAGTTCTTGCTAACTCTCGCTAACTTGATGCCGTGAGGTCTTTGCGCTTCCTGCCCACACACAGCACGCAGTCTGCGTCCCACGTCACTCAAACACTCTCCAGTGTTTAGTTAAAGGTGCAGTGCGGCTGTTATCGCACAGTCAGCGCGGCTGCTACCCTCAGTACCCACGCAGACCTGCCACACCTTAGTTTCGACATCGCTGATCCTTGGGCTTACTACTTCTTGACTCATTCTCACACAACTTACTGGAAAAGCCTAAAGGCCTATCTACTGCAAGTCATGCAGTCGGCTTGTTGCTTAACCCCAAACTTTACTTTGGGTCTGTGGTTTTCTTCACCCCTTAAACTCTGGGTTCATCACATGAGTTTCAGTATTTCCAGAGGTACCAAATAAGTAAATCTGAATTACACGGACATGTGCATACATTTATAAACAACTCACTTCTCCACATTAAAGGGAAAAACAAGCATTAGGATTCTGAGTTTCACCGTTATTATGTAGCCTACATGCTGTTCAAAAACATCAGCAAATCTGAATGACATAACAAGAAGAGGAAGTGATTCACATCAGCAATCATGTGAAACATGACCCCGCATGTGACACTTTATAGGGCTTTTGTCTTGCATGTCCCAACACCCCAGTGTTTATTTTGTTTTCTTTCTGCAACCCAGTATCAGATTAATTTTAATTTCCTTGTTCACTGACTTGTGCCAATGAGCTTCTTTTCTGTAGTCAGTCAGATCAATATCTCAACCACAGTCAGATCTACTAGGAAAGAAGCTGTCCATTCTCTTTGGTTGTTTCTCAAACATATTCTGAATTCTGAAGTCCCTGTACTCATGAATCATTGTGTAATATTTCATCCAAGTGGAAACTATATTGATAAGCGACTAATAAAGTCAATTATTTAAGTCATCAGATTTCTCTGTCTGTGTGTGCATGTGGGTGTGTGGCTCATCATTACGTCCTCTTGCAAACTGTGAAATAACCACTGTTTCCAATCAATGCATGTCAGCACAGCGCAGTGATGATTAAACTACAGTCGTGACCTCATCACCTCGAGGGAAGGCTTGGAAAACTCTGCTGGATCAATAGAGTTTTAATTCATCCACAAATCACCAACAGCGATACAATGCACACACACACACACTCATGCAGTGCGGTTAGATCTGTGAGTGGAGAAGACCCAGTATGCATCCCTATGATTGGTGTGGCTCAAACAAGATGTCATATAATGTTTACACACAAACAAATATTTTCTTACACTGAAAGCACATGCAGCCATACACCTATAAACATCATAGGACTTTGTCACAGGTTTAGTTTTAGATGACAGTGGGTGAAACATGTGGATTGGCCCGTTATGTGGGCTTTCAAAGTGGCTTGCAGCCAGCCCCTCCCCAAATCCTATTAAGAAACAACAAGTCAAAGCCTATATGAAGACAATCGGCGCTCTGCCCCATGGGGAGTGAGGCTAATGTGACCTCGGGACTTGTGATGTGGATTGTCACATCTGTGAGAGTGATCACCCTGACTAAAAAACCAGGCCATCCTGTCAGAGAAGAACAGAGTTTATTTTCACACACCACTGATAATTAGATAGACATGGTCACTTTATCAATTAACGCTATGCCAAACCCCCCCCAGGTGAATAACTAACAAAGAGGAGGATGATGGTGACGTGTGACCTTTCACACAGTTGTCATGGTGTTTAGGGCTTCTTGCTTGACTGTAACTAGTCTTCTCATGTGCACACATGTGCTCTCTCTTATACAAAGAGAAAGAGACATTTGGTGGGAGATATTTGATGCTGAATAAAGAGCTTACTTGGTGTTAGTAAAAACATGTTCCAAGTTGCATGAAATACCCTTTTTTGTTTAACTAACATATCTTAACATATGGGAAAGGATAGATTAAGTATTTTAAAACAATATTCTAACTATTTGTGTTACTGTATAGTGATACACAAACACAGACTATCAGACTAAAAACAATGCAAAAGACACTGCAAGAGATTAGTGGATGAAAACTTTGGTCATATGAGTTTTGCATTAAAATCCTAACCTATCCTGCAATCTTGATCCTGTATTTACTTTCAATCCACTGCAGCGGAAACAAGCTGTAAACAAAACTTTGACATTGTATCATCTTTCAAGTTGATATGTTGGACTTGTCAGCAAACAGTCGCTTATTTACAAATCCAGCAGCTATGGAGCAACATTAGCATTCATATGGAGTCATATTTCTGGCCACCTGGTGAATGTTATATGCACGTGTTCACCTGCTACTTGAGCATACTTTCTCTGTCTGCCATTTGGTGTGGGGCAGTTAGAATATAGAGGAGCTTATTTGTGAAAACAGCCCACTGCATCTGGAAGTGATACCGATTAGAGAGGCATTAAAGTTTCAGGCCAGAAAACCAAAACAAGTAGTTTAAAGAAACACTCCACAGAGATGAGGGGGACTGCAGAGTTGAGTAATGATTATTTAATTTGCAACATCTGTACATGCATATAGTAATTTGAGCCATTGTTGATGTAAAAATATTGATAATTACAGCTTTAATGTTAGCGTATTTTAAGGTTACAGTCTTAAGTGTTTCTTTTTATCAAAGCAATAATGTAGAATAAAAAGAAATAACAGGTCCCTTAAACAGTACAGCAACTTTCATAATCTACAGCTTTCCTTGTTACTGTTCCTTATAACCTCTACCAAGAGGCCTGGGCTCATTGCCCCTCACTTAATAACACGTTCATCTCATATCATCCCGAGCATGCTCTAATTGAAATCGCTTGAAATAGCCCGAGGACGGCTCCTATGTGATCCATTCAGTAAAAGGTGAACATCTACAACAACAGAATAAGATGTACAGCGACAGGTCTTTAATCCTCACTCCTTGTCCTGTGAGAATGACAGTAGACTAATTAAAATGTCTGAGACCACTGAGCTAATTAATGGCAGAGATAAGTCTCCTCCAATGTTTTCATCCCACAGGGACTCAGAGGCCTTTCAAACAACAAGTTTCAGGTTGTAATTTCTAAAAGGGAAAAGACCGGTGGCAAAATGTTATTACCTAAATTATAGCCTCCTGACCTTGAATTAATCACTCTATTTTCATAGTTTGTGTTTCCACTCATCTTCTATGGCAATGTGTGTGTTTTGATTTATGAATTATTCAGGTCGTGGGAGATATCCATTCATCATTTCAATGGCATCAGAGCACAGCATAAATAAAATGATTTTCAAAGCGATCTTGTGATTAGAACTCACAGCTACAACTGTGGCCAGCTATGTATTAGACATTAGGGTTTCCAACCACAATGTCTAAAATAAAAAATAAAGTCTATTGCTTCCTCTTTCTTTAATCTATTCCTCTTACAAAAGTTGATCACCACAGTTCCTCCTGTCAGTGTTTCCTGAGTTGTTCTGAATGTTGTTTTTAAAGGTACCATTGTTCTCTTTGTTGTGTGATGTTTTTTTTTTTTTTTAAAGAAAGGGAGTAAAAGTTTATCTTAAGCCTAATGATCTGTTTTACACCATGGATCATCATTACACATGGAGAACAGCTAAAAACACACACTTAACACTGGTTTATCAGCTTGCAACTTTATTAATTTCCCTAACTTTATGAAAATTGCTTATAAACTTGGTTTTAAACTGATAAAATGTTTCAGATACTGCCACAGAAAATCATACATTACTTCTGTTTGGGGTCTCAAAGGCCCGAGCTGTAAAATATAATGGACTTTAATACACTTGGTGTTGATAGTTGATATACCCCTCCTAAATCCCAAATAAGACTTGTTGGATTTGTGGTATTGGAGCTTTAAACAGGGAGTTAGGGTCAGGTTGTGCTCAAACAGAGCTGGATAGCTTGACGTGTTGTGAAGATGAATATTTATAGTTGTTCCAAAGAGGAGACGTGACAATCTTAAAATATTAGGATGAGGGCGTACATTCTGAGACTGTCTCTCCTGGAATACATTGATAGTGTTGCACTCAGTTGTTCGCATGAAAAGTGACAGAAATACTTGTGCAAAGAATGAAAAAAGAGAGCTGGATAGAGAAGTTCAAACCCTGGCGCCTTTCTCACCTACGCACTCCTGGCTAATCAAGGCGTGAAGGGGGTGTGAATGTCAGATTGTAGGGTTCAGAAACTGAAATGGTCAGACACAGCTCACATCGTGAAGGTGTGAGTGGAGGGGGTTTCTGAAGCCATTTGACCGTCCCACAAGCAGTTCTGACGAAGTATATTGGCAGCTCAAGACCTCTTAATTAACCCAAAACATATGTAACAAACATCCTTATGTAAAATAACACACTGCGCATTTCTTTTTTTTAATTTTTGACAAAAAAAGGTATAG